GCCTCTGTTTGAAGGACAGAGGTCTGGAAGACAGCCCCAGTGCCTGGGTGAATCAATAAGACTGTGGTACCCGACGGCTCTGGGTTTTGGAATAAGCTGCCCCCAGCTCCCCAGAATCCCATAGAATTCTGCAGAATCCCCCTTTCTCTCTGGCAACTCCAGAAAAAGCTATATAAATTTTCTGTCAGAATTTCTGCTCTGTAAAATGGGACTGGGAATATCTCCTCCCATGAGTGAGTCTGTGCGTTGGAAGAGGTGGTGCAGAGCCTGCTGTGCCACGTCAACAGCTGGTGTTATGCACAGACCAGGCAGCCGGAGCACGTGTAGGACCAGCCATCCATTCCAGCGGCTGACATCCCGAGAGCAGGTGTCTGCCTCTGTCACACCAGTGGTAGTGGCTTCTCACTGGGTCCCAGTTACTACAGGTTAAATCCAACCCCAGGGAAAGGGGCATAATGGTGAATTTTATGTGGCAATGTGGCTGTGCAGTCTTGAGGCAGAATTGCTGCTTCTCAGGGAAATCTCAGTCTTAGCTCTTAAAACCTTCATCTGACTGGATGAGGCCCACTCATATTACGGAGGGTACTCTGCTTACAGTCAATTGATTGAAACGTTAAGCACTTCACAGACGCAACATAGAAGGCCTGCCTGGCAACAATAAATAACTTCCCAACCAAAAAGAGCCCTGTACTAGACGGATTCACGGATGAATTCTACCAGAGATACAAAGAAGAGCTGGTACCATTTCTGCTGAAACTATTCCAAACAACTGAAAAGCAGGGACTCCTTTCTAAATTGTATTATGAGGCCAGCATCATCCTGATACCAAAACCTTGCAGAGATACAACAAAAAAAGAAAACTTCAGACCTATATCTTTGATGAACACCGATGTAAAAATCCTCAATAAAATACTGGCAAACTGAATCCAGCACACATCAAGAAACTTATCCACCATGATCAAGTGGGCTTAATCCCTGCGATGCAAGTTTGATTCAACATATGCAAATCAATGAATGTGATTCATCACATAAACAGACTAAAGACAAAAAACACGATTTATCTTAATAGATGCAGAAAAGGCCTTCAATAAAATTCAACATCCCTTCATGTTAAAAACTCTCAATAAGCTAGGTTTTGAAGGAACATACCTCAAAATAATAAGAGCCATATATGACAAACCCACAGCCAATATCACAGTGAATGGGCAAAAGCTGGAAGCATTGCCCTTGAAAACTGCCACAACAAAAGGATGCCCTCTCTCACCACTCCTCTTACACACAGTATTGAAGTTCTGGCCAGGATAATCAGGCAAGAGAAAGAAATAAAGGGTATATTCAAATAGGAAGAGAAGAAGTCAACCTATCTGTATTTGCAGATGACATGATCCTACATCTAGAAAATCTCATTGTCTCAGCCCAAAACTTCTTAGGCTGATAAACAACTTCAGCATAGTCTCAGGATACAAAATCAATGTGCAAAAATTGCCAGCATTCCTATACACCAAAAGGCAAGCCAAGAGCCAAATCATGAATGAACTCCCATTCATAACTGCTACAAAAAGAATAAAATACCTAGTAATATAGCTAACAAGTGAAGTGAAGGACCTCTTGAAGGAGAACTACAAACGACTGGTCAAAGAAATCTGAGATGACACAAACAAACCATTCCATGCTCATGGATAGGAACAATCAATATCACGAAAATGGCCATACCACCCAAAGCAATTTATAGATTCAATGCTATTCCCATTAAACTACCACTGACATTTTTCACAGAATTAGAAAAAAATCTATTTTAAAATTCATATAGAACCCGAAAAGAAACGAAATAGCCAAGACAATCATAAGCAAAAATAACAAAGCTGGAGACATTACACTAGCTGACTTCAAACTATACTACAAGGCTGCAGTACCAGCATGGTACTGGCACAGGGACAGTCTGGCACACAGACAAATGGAACTAAATAAAGAATGCAGAAATAAGATAACAAACCTACAATTGCCTGATCTTTGATAAATCTGACAAAAACAAGCAATGAGGAAAGGAATCCCTATTTAATGAATGGTGTTGAGAGAACTGGCTAGCCTTATGCAGAAAATTGAAATGGGATCCCTTCCTTACACCATATACAAAAATCAACTAAAATGGATAAGGATTAAAGACTTAAATGTAACACCCTAAGCTACAAAAACCTTAGAAGAAAATCTAGGCAATACCATTCGGGACATAGGCACGGGCAATTGTAACGAAAGCAAAAATTGACAAATGGAATCTAATTAAACTCAAGAGCTTTTGCACAGCAAAAGAAACTATCATCAGAGTGAACAGACAACCTAAGAATGGGAGACAATTTTTGCAATGTATGCATCTGACAAAGGTCTAATATCCAGCATCTACAAGGAACAAATTCACACACACACACACAAAACAAAGAACCTCATTAAAAAGTGGGCAAATCACATGACTGGACACTTCTCAAAAGAAGACATACATGAGGCCAAAAAGTAAATGAAAAAAAGCTCAACATCACTGATCATTAGAGAAATTCAAATCAAAACCACAGTAAGATACCATCTCACACCGGTCAGAATAGCTATTATTAACACGTCAAAAAACAACAGATGCTGGCGAGGTTGTGGAGAAGGAGGAACGCTTTTACACTGTTGGTGGGAGTGTAAATGAGTTCAACCGTTGTGGAAGACAGTGTGGTGGCTCTTCAAAGACCTAGAGACAGAAACATCATTTGACCCAGAAATGCCACTACCGGGTATATACCCAAAGGAGTAGAAATTGTTCCGTTATAAAGACACATGCACGTGTATATCATTGCATCACTATTCACAATATCAAAGACATGATTAGCCCAAATGCCCATTAGTGATAGACTGGATAAAGAAAATGTGATATATATACACCATGGAACACTATACAGCCATAAAAAGGAACAAGATCATATCCACTGTAGGGACATGGATGGAGCTGAAAGCCATTATGCTTAGCAGACTAATGCAGGAACATAAAACCAAATACTACATTTCCTCACTTGTAAGTGGGAGCTGAATGATGAGAACATACGGACATGAGGTGGGGTGGGGACAACACACACTGGGTCCTGTCGGAGGGTGGGGGATTGGGGTAGGGGAGAGCATCAGGAAGAACAGCTAATGGATGCTGGGCTTAAAACCTAGGTGATGGGATGATCTGTGCAGCAAACCAGCATAGCACACGTTTACCTATGTAACAAGCGTGCACATCCTGCACAATTTCGAACTTAAAATAAAAGTTGGAAAAAAGAGAAGGAAAGGAAAGAAAAGACACTCTGCTTGGGGCGCCAGGCAGATGTTCTGTGGAATTCAAACTAGAGGCTGCAACATCAACTTTTACAATATCTCCAGCCCGCCGGCCTGTCCTCCAAATTCCCAAACTGCCAGCCTCCAGAATCCTGAGAGCCAATTTCTGAAAATAATTTCCCCTGCATCCCCCGCCCCACCAACCCTCTTGATGTCCTACTCGTTCTGCTTCTCTGAAGAAGCCTGGCTAATAGGAGTTGAGGTGGCACGGGGAGGTCCCACCTCCTTTTAATTAAATGCAGCAGGAAGCCACCATCACCAGCCGCCACCATCTCCCCTGCAGCCTCCCCTTTACTCAGGGGCACTTTCTTCTAGGCCATTTCGAGTTTTCTCCTACAGTCTAGAGCCCCATTTCCTCCGCTTTGAGACCCTTCTCCCAGTATGTTTGTTCCATCCTTTGATTTCAGAAACTAACCTCGTGACGAATCATGAGGTAGTTCAGAAGCACACTGTACAATATAAACTTTATTATAAAGCTTCAGCAAATATAAATATCCAGGTGCCCCTTCCGAATGGAG